ATGGTGTCCTACGTGTAGGATTGTATGTATGGGATTGTAGATATGGTGTCCTACGTGTAGGATTGTATGTATGGGATTGTAGATATGATGTCCTACGTGTAGGATTGTATGTATTGGATTGTAGATATGATGTCCTACGTGTAGGATTGTATGTATTGGATTGTAGATATGGTGTCCTACGTGTAGGATTGTATGTAGAGGATTGTAGATATGGTGTCCTACGTGTAGGATTGTATGTAGAGGATTGTAGATATGGTGTCCTACGTGTAGGATTGTATGTATGGGATTGTAGGTATGGTGTCATACATGTAGGATTGTATGTAGAGGATTGTAGATATGGTGTCCTACGTGTAGGATTGTATGTAGAGGATTGTAGATATGATGTCCTACGTGTAGGATTGTATGTATGGGATTGTAGATATGGTGTCCTACGTGTAGGATTGTATGTATGGGATTGTAGATATGGTGTCCTACGTGTAGGATTGTATGTAGAGGATTGTAGATATGATGTCCTACGTGTAGGATTGTATGTATTGGATTGTAGATATGATGTCCTACGTGTAGGATTGTATGTAGAGGATTGTAGATATGATGTCCTACGTGTAGGATTGTATGTATGGGATTGTAGATATGGTGTCCTACGTGTAGGATTGTATGTAGAGGATTGTAGATATGGTGTCCTACGTGTAGGATTGTATGTAGAGGATTGTAGATATGGTGTCCTACGTGTAGGATTGTATGTAGAGGATTGTAGATATGGTGTCCTACGTGTAGGATTGTATGTAGAGGATTGTAGATATGGTGTCCTACGTGTAGGATTGTATGTATTGGATTGTAGATATGGTGTCCTACGTGTAGGATTGTATGTATGGGATTGTAGGTATGGTGTCCTACGTGTAGGATTGTATGTATTGGATTGTAGATATGGTGTCCTACGTGTAGGATTGTATGTAGAGGATTGTAGATATGGTGTCCTACGTGTAGGATTGTATGTATTGGATTGTAGATATGATGTCCTACGTGTAGGATTGTATGTAGGGGATTGTAGATATGGTGTCCTACGTGTAGGATTGTATGTAGAGGATTGTAGATATGGTGTCCTACGTGTAGGATTGTATGTAGGGGATTGTAGATATGGTGTCCTACGTGTAGGATTGTATGTAGAGGATTGTAGATATGGTGTCCTACGTGTAGGATTGTATGTAGGGGATTGTAGATATGGTGTCCTACGTGTAGGATTGTATGTAGAGGATTGTAGATATGGTGTCCTACGTGTAGGATTGTATGTAGAGGATTGTAGATATGGTGTCCTACGTGTAGGATTGTATGTAGGGGATTGTAGATATGGTGTCCTACGTGTAGGATTGTATGTAGAGGATTGTAGATATGGTGTCCTACGTGTAGGATTGTATGTATTGGATTGTAGATATGGTGTCCTACGTGTAGGATTGTATGTAGAGGATTGTAGATATGGTTTCCTACGTGTAGGATTGTATGTATTGGATTATAGGTATGGCGTCCTACGTGTAGGATTGTATGTAGGGGATTGTAGGTATGGTGTCCTACGTGTAGGATTGTATGTAGAGGATTGTAGATATGGTGTCCTACGTGTAGGATTGTATGTATGGGATTGTAGATATGGTGTCCTACGTGTAGGATTGTATGTAGAGGATTGTAGGTATGGTGTCCTACGTGTAGGATTGTATGTAGGGGATTGTAGGTATGGTGTCCTACGTGTAGGATTGTATGTATGGGATGGTAGATATGGTGTCCTACGTGTAGGATTGTATGTAGGGGATTGTAGGTATGGTGTCCTACGTGTAGGATTGTATGTATGGGGATTGTAGGTATGGTGTCCTACGTGTAGGATTGTATGTAGAGGATTGTAGATATGGTGTCCTACGTGTAGGATTGTATGTATTGGATTGTAGATATGATGTCCTACGTGTAGGATTGTATGTAGAGGATTGTAGATATGGTGTCCTACGTGTAGGATTGTATGTATGGGATTGTAGATATGGTGTCCTATGTTTAGGATTGTATGTAGAGGATTGTAGGTATGGTGTCCTACGTGTAGGATTGTATGTAGGGGATTGTAGGTATGGTGTCCTACGTGTAGGATTGTATGTAGAGGATTGTAGATATGGTGTCCTACGTGTAGGATTGTATGTATGGGATTGTAGGTATGGTGTCATACGTGTAGGATTGTATGTAGAGGATTGTAGGTATGGTGTCCTACGTGTAGGATTGTATGTATGGGATTGTAGGTATGGTGTCCTACGTGTAGGATTGTATGTAGGGGATTGTAGGTATGGTGTCCTACGTGTAGGATTGTATGTAGGGGATTGTAGGTATGGTGTCCTACGTGTAGGATTGTATGTATGGGATTGTAGGTATGGTGTCCTACGTGTAGGATTGTATGTAGGGGATTGTAGGTATGGTGTCCTACGTGTAGGATTGTATGTATGGGATTGTAGGTATGGTGTCCTACGTGTAGGATTGTATGTAGAGGATTGTAGATATGGTGTCCTACGTGTAGGATTGTATGTATGGGATTGTAGGTATGGTGTCATACATGTAGGATTGTATGTATAGCCTTCCGTGTATTGTTATGGTGTGGTTTATACTCGGCAGTTACCAGAAGACAGATCTTCACTCTGAGGCTCCCGGGTCCCTCTGGAGCGCCATCCGCCTACTCTGCGCGCCGATCATTACGTGTATTTCAATCCTCTCCAGTGGGCCCTTGCTGCCCCCGGGGCCCCGAGGTCTGACAGATTGGTGCGGCCTCTCTCATTTAACATGTAATTATCCAGTTAACAAGGCTGTGTACATCTGGGAGACGAACGTGTTGTTTTTCTATACCGTCATTCGTCCCCGAAGGCCGACGCCCACTTTGATTCTATTTTCTCGGCTTCTCCCCGCGCAGATCTTCATAAACGTCTCCCAGACGTGCGCCAGAAATCTTCTCATTGATTTCACCAAACTATGGCGGCTCCGTGGCTGTTGGCTGAAACGTTTTCAGATAATATGTGTCGCCCTGTACCTGGCGTGATTCATTTCACTTCCTGTCCCAGTAACCACACAGGAAGTGAGGGGAAAGTGTATTGATGGGATCACAGATGCTAAAAACCCAACAGATGATAAAAAAAAAAGCCAAAAGCCCATTTCCTGCTCCAACTAAAACAAAGTTTTGGCTGGAGCTGGGCTTTGGTGAAATGGCATTGTACCCTAATGCAGGCCATAGAAGGTTCGTTTATCGGTCGATTTTTCGTCCGAGAGAATAATCGGCCGATTTTCGCACCGTTAGTGGGGCAATGTCATCGGCTGATTTTCGTGGTTCCTCCAGATTTCTTTTATCGGTCATGCTGGAAAATTTGCGAAAAACAGACAATTTTCACAATCATTGGTGTGGCAACAGAACGACCGATGTTTCGTTTTTCGGCCGAAAAAATCGGCCAATAAACGATCCGTCTATGGCCTGCATAACTCCAAAATATAAAGGGAATATAAAAGCAAACTTATAATAAATTAATACATTAGTAGATAGATCATTATGGCCGGATGGAGATGTGTGCTTTACCTATTAGTTCTCATTGTTACATTCCATACACAGCAATGATACAATGTAACACAATGAGAGAAGGGGGTGTAACGGAACCGGACCCCGTCTGCACTCGGGTATTTCCGTTAGATCCACGGACAACACCGCCGACCATACAGGAACTAAGACAGGACCAGATTCCTCTTAAGACAGGAAGTAAACGGCTTTATTTTAACACAAACACAAGATATATACACAGGGCGGGGAAATACACCCAGGAACAGGAAACACATCAGCAAGCCATCCCATCAGGGGGAAGGGCTACAGGAAACACATCACAGGCCATCCCACCAGGGGGAAGGGCTACAGGAAACACATCAGCAGGCCGTCCCATCAGGGGGAAGAGCTACAGGAAACACATCAGCAGGCCGTCCCATCAGGGGGAAGGGCTACAGGAAACACATCAGCAGGCCGTCCCATCAGGGGGAAGGGCTACAGGAAACACATCAGCAGGCCGTCCCATCAGGGGGAAGGGTTACAGGAAACACATCAGCAGACCCTCCCATCAGGGGGAAGGGCTACAGGAAACACATCACAGGCCGTCCCATCAGGGGGAAGGGCTACAGGAAACACATCAGCAGGCCCTGCCATCAAGAGGAAGGGCTACAGGAAACACATCAGCAGGCCGTCCCATCAGGGGGAAGGGCTACAGGAAACACATCAGCAGGCCGTCCCATCAGGGGGAAGGGCTACAGGAAACACATCAGCAGGCCATCCCATCAGTGGGAAGGGCTACAGGAAACACATAAGCAGGCCCTCCCATCAGGGGGAAGGGCTACACGAAACACATCAGCAGGCCATCCCATCAGTGGGAAGGGCTACAGGAAACACATCAGCAGGCCATCCCGTCAGTGGGAAGGGCTACAGGAAACACATCAGCAGGACCTCCCATCAGGGGGAAGGGCTATAGGAAACACCCCCCCACCACCAAACCAAGACACAGAACAATGGGATGCAGCACATGGCAGTGAACAATGGACAAACCCCACACCCCCACCTATACATGTCTACACCATATCAGAACAGACCACCCTGTACCCCTAACAGGCACAGGGTGGGTCACACACAAGAGGACCTTGGGGAGATGATACAGGGGTCCCACCCAGGGGTCCCCCCCCACCCCCAAAAGTCACTCCCATCACAGGGAGATTGCAGCAAGACAAAGAAAGGGAATCAAATTTAATGCATCTGGTTCGTTCTGTGTTTAGATCTTGATTGGTTCAGTTCAGGGCGGGGTATTCCATGTTATGAAGAAGAACATAATGTCACACGTTAAGACTTTTATACTCAGCTACCTACGGCTTCGTGAACACATTTGTGATTTTATGTCCTCCAAACCGTTTGCTTATATTTAACCAAATATTTCTGCTTCCCGCAGTTGATCCGCTGACCGACCACCATGACCGAACAATCCGAGTGCAGATTCAGCAATCTGACAGAGGATCAGATCACCATCCTTGACCAGGTCCTGTCGGAGGTCACTCCAATCCACGGACGGGGCAACTTCCCCACCATGGAAGTCAAACCAAAGGACATCATCCGCGTGGTGAAGGACCAACTGATACAAAAGGACATCACCATACGGGACATTCGTCTGAACGGATCCACAGCCAGCCACATCCTCATGCAACAAAACGGCACAAGCTGCAAAGATCTGGATATTATTTTTGGCGTGGAGCTTCCGGGGGAACCAGCTTTCCAGACGGTTAAAGAGATTGTTCTGGATTCCCTCTTAGATTTCCTTCCAAAGTGCGTCAACAAAGAGAAGATCACGGCTCTGACCATGAATGAAGCCTACGTCCAGAAGATGGTGAAGGTCTCCACCGACCACGACCGCTGGAGTTTGATCTCCTTGTCCAACAACAGCGGGAAGAACGTTGAGCTAAAGTTTGTCCATTGTTTGCGGAGACAGTTTGAGTTCAGCGTTGACTCTTTCCAGATCGTTCTGGATACCATCCTGGACCTTTATGCAGAAAACGACGGTGAGCTGAGTCCGGATTCAAACCCAACCGTGCTGGCTGAGAGCATGTACGGGGACTTTAACGAAGCAATGGAGCACCTACGATGTAAACTTATAGCGACCAGGAATCCAGAGGAGATCCGAGGGGGAGGGCTTCTGAAATACTCCAACCTCCTAGTACGGGACTACAAACCAACCAGCGAGACCGAGCTCAAATCCTTGGAGCGTTACATGTGTTCCCGCTTCTTCATCGACTTTTCCGACGTGGCGGAACAACAGAGGAAAATCGAGTCTTACTTGCGCAACCACTTTATTGGGGAGGAGAAAAGCAAATACGACTACTTGATGACTCTGCGGTCCGTGGTGAATGAAAGCACAGTTTGCCTTATGGGACACGAGCGCAGACAGACGCTGAACATGATCACCATTCTGGCGCTGAAAGTTCTGGGGGAGCAGAATATCATCCCCAACGCCGCGAACGTGACTTGTTACTACCAACCAGCCCCTTACATGAGCGACAGGAACTTCAGTAACTACTACATCCCCCAGGGCCAAACCATCTACTACCAGCCCTTCCAGTTCCACATACACATGCAGAGCGGCCTCGTGTAGCGCCCCCTAGCCTCACACGGTGGTGAAGCAGAGGCCTCTGTAGGAGTAAACTCAGAATTCTCCTGGAATGTGACTACTTGTTGTACAAAGTATCGACTTATGTAAATACTTAAGTATTTATTAATCCGATTGTGACGTTTGTCGCCAATTTCCATTTCTCCTGTACGGGATGTTAATGTCGTTACCGCGCAGAAAATGCGGATATTGATACTGTGATCTTGAACAGACCGCAAAAAATAATGGATGTTTGATCGTTCTGTGTGTAGCATCGTGCCAGCGTTAACGTGCCATAGAAAGGGTTGTTATATGTTATATTGGTGTGTTGGCTTCTCAGTGGCAGCCATTGGCTGGATTATAAAAAAAATGGCGGCCGCTAATGAACAGCCGGAGACTTAGGGGTGACCCTCCCTGGGGGGGACTTTATGGAAGAGCATGGAGCAGAGATACAGGAAGTGGAGCAACCAGTACCCTCCAATCACAAGCAGGCTTTCAGAAGTACACTACTGGAAGCTGTTCTGTGATTGGTGCCTTTCAAATTCTGCACACCATTGCTTTTTGCTGCACTCTACTGTATTTACGTAGGAACTGTTTTTTCATATTGGCTGAGGCCAGATTTGGTCCCTTGTTGGGTCTACTTCTATGTATGAGTTCTCTTAGCACTGATTCCTCCAGGACAGATGGGCTCTGCCAAACACTGAGTGTCCTGAGTCCCCCATCTGTTCATGTAATCATTGGGGGGGTCCCACCAGGACAGATGGGGTGCTCTGTACATCGGACATCAAGGGTCCCCTTTCTGTTCATGTAATCTTTGGGGGGGGGGGGGGTCCCACCAGGACAGATGGGGTGCTCTGTACACCGGACATCCAGGGTCCCCTCTCTGTTCTTCATGTAATCTTTGGAGGGGTCCCACCAGGACAGATGGGGTGCTCTGCACACTGAACATTCTGGGTCCTCTCTCTGTTCTTCATGTAATCACTGGGGGCTCCCTCCAGGACAGATGGGGTGCTCTGTACACCGGACATCCAGGGTCCCCTCTCTGTTCTTCATGTAATCTTTGGGGGGGTCCCACCAGGACAGATGGGGTGATCTGTACACTGGACATCCAGGGTCCCCGCTCTGTTCTCCATGTTATTACTGGGGGCTCCCACCAGGACAGATGGGGTGCTCTGTACACTGAACATTCAGGGTCCCCTCTCCGTTCATGTAATCTTTGGGGGGGTCCCACTAGGACAGATGGGGTGCTCTGTACACAAAAACATCCAGGGTCCCCTCTCTGTTCTCCATGTAATCTTTGGGGGCTCCCCCCAGGACAGATGGGGTGCTCTGTACACCGAACATCCAGTGTTCCCTCTCTGTTCATGTAATCTTTGGGGGGGTCCCACCAGGACAGATGGGGTGATCTGTACACCGAATCTCCAGGGTCCCCTCTCTGTTCTCCATGTACCCACTGGGGGCTCCCATCAAGTCAGATAGGCTCCACCATACACTGAACTTCCTGTGTCCCCTCTTTTCTTCATGTAATCATTGAGGGGCTTCTATTATATCCTGTATCCTTTCAGGGGCAATGATGGCATAATATTGGACCCAACCTTGTCACACTCCACCCAAAACTAATATACAAAAATTCAGGTAGCATTCCATGCAAAGTCTGATGTTGGGAATTATTACACTATGCATCCATTAGATGTCTATTTGCACTGAACTTATCCAGGTTCTTGAAGTGTCCAGAGTGTCCAGTGTCTTGGGAAGCTTGTGCAGGGAAATGGAGTGAGGAAGGTAATAATTCTATTTCCAGACTTGAAGAATTTGTTGTCTTGAGCAGACAAGTGCACTATGAGCAGTAAAACTCCCATCAGAGAGCACTATGACCAGTAAAACTCCCAGCAGAGAGCACTATGAGCAGTAATACTCCCAGCAGAGAGCACTATGAGCAGTAAAACTCCCATCAGAGAGCACTATGAGCAGTAAAACTCCCATCAGAGAGCACTATGACCAGTAAAACTCCCAGCAGAGAGAACTATGAGAAGTAAAACTCCCAGCAGGGAGCACTATGAGCAGTAAAACTCCCAGCAGAGAGCACTATGACCAGTAAAACTCCCAGCAGAGAGCACTATGAGAAGTAAAACTCCCAGCAGAGAGCACTATGAGCAGTAAGAGTCCCAGCAGAGAGCACTATGAGCAGTAAGAGTCCCAGCAGAGAGCACTATGAGCAGTAAGAGTCCCAGCAGAGAGCACTGTGACCAGTAAGAGTCCCAGCAGAGAGAACTATGACCAGTATGAGTCCCAGCAGAGAGCACTATGACCAGTAAGAGTCCCAGCAGAGAGCACTATGACCAGTAGGAGTCCCAGCAGAGAGCACTATGACCAGTAAGAGTCCCAGCAGTGAGCCCTATGACCAGTAAGAGTCCCAGCAGAGAGCACTATGACCCATCAGAGTCCCAGCAGAGAGCACTATGACCCATCAGAGTCCCAGCAGAGAGCCCTATGACCAGTATGAGTCCCAGCAGAGAGCACTGTGACCCGTAGGAGTCCCAGCAGAGAGCACTATGACCAGTAAGAGTCCCAGAAGAGAGCACTATGACCAGTAAGAGTCCCAGCAGAGAGCGCTGTGACCAGTATGAGTCCCAGCAGAGAGCCCTATGAGCAGTAAGAGTCCCAGCAGAGAGCACTATGACCCATCAGTGTCCCAGCAGAGAGCACTATGACCAGTATGAGTCCCAGCAGAGAGCACTATGACCAGTAGGAGTCCCAGCAGAGAGCACTATGACCTATAAGAGTCCCAGCAGAGAGCACTATGACCAGTAAGAGTCCCAGCAGAGAGCACTATGACCAGTAAGAGTCCCAGCAGAGAGCACTATGACCCATCAGAGTCCCAGCAGAGAGCACTATGACCCATCAGAGTCCCAGCAGAGAGCACTATGACCAGTATGAGTCCCAGCAGAGAGCACTATGACCAGTATGAGTCCCAGCAGAGAGCACTATGACCCATCAGAGTCCCAGCAGAGAGCACTATGACCAGTATGAGTCCCAGCAGAGAGCACTATGACCAGTAAGAGTCCCAGCAGAGAGCACTATGACCAGTAGGAGTCCCAGCAGAGAGCACTATGACCAGTGTGAGTCCCAGCAGAGAGCACTATGACCCATCAGAGTCCCAGCAGAGAGCACTATGACCTATAAGAGTCCCAGCAGAGAGCACTATGACCAGTATGAGTCCCAGCAGAGAGCACTGCGAGCAGTTAAAGAGCCAGCTGAGTGCAGTACTGCCAGTTAGGGTGTCGGTAGAGTGCACTGCATACAGTTAGTGGCTCTGTCCTTGAACTTGTGTCATTCTTGAAATTTCCCAACTATTGAATTTGCAGTAAATGTTCCGATATGAGTTCTTCCAGATGCCACCAGCTGCCATGAACCAGCAGGGGGAGCTCTCTTATGGTGGGTGAACCAATCAGAGGTTAGAGAGGGAGAGTCTAGTAATGTGATGAAATTGTGTAGCATGGTGAATTCATCTCTTGTCTGAACTGGAACCCCCAAAGATTTCTAGCATGAAGTGGGAAGGGGGTGTAGAGGGGAGCCTGCAGGAGTACAGAATACAGATGACCCGGTGACCTCCTGTAGTGTTGGTCCCTCCCCAGGACACGTACAGTGATTTGTGGTTGGTGGCCATCTTGCCATCCATCATTTTGTAGCTTCTAACAGATTCTCTGTCCTCCTGAGTCCACCATGGCTGCACCCCTAAAAAGCTCCCAGCATGCTTTGTAAGCCCCCTAACTCTCTGACTGTACAACACTGTAGAGTATGTCAGGTCCGTGAATGGGTTGGGTTTTGGTGGAACCCACATCCAGCCCAGTCCTGAATCTCATCCCTACTGTGGACTAATCTTTTCTGGGAATATAGATTATAGCAACTGAGAGAGCATCATACAAAGTGTGAAGATGCTAAACCACCATTTCCATGGCGGATATCAATCTGAGGCGTATTCATAAACCGCTCCTCGCCTATCACTGCACCATCACGTCACTTTCGTGTCATCAGTTTCCATTTAGATTTTTATGAACCCAAAATCTAATGAATCAGAATTTCCATTTTATTTTTGGTTCACCAAAGACGAGTTTGTTCAGTTAAGTGCCTCATGTGATCGTCGTATTCCAGGAACAAACCAGTTGTTTAGGAAGAGCTCTGCTGAGCTTTATCGGCATCTAAACGGCCAAGAGAACAAAACCACATTGGAAGTTTAGATGAACTCCAACCCCCACCCAATGAAGAATGAGCTCTCGTGGTGTCTCCTTGTGTCCAAGTGTCTGGTTCATGTGCAGAAATTTGGATCTTAGCTCCTTCTCTTCCCATTTGGAACCATGAAGATACTCCCGGCCTTTAGATTGGAAATGTCCCCCCTTGTGCTGTAGAGGAGAGAGCATTGGGGTCTGTTTACTAAAGGTGTAGAGGAAGGGAAATGGGGAATCTGTGTAGAGGAAGGGAATTGGGGAATCGGTGTAGGAAGGAAAGGAATTGGGGAATCGGTGTAGGAAGGAAAGGAATTGGGGAATCGGTGTAGAGGAAGCGACTTGGGGAATTGGTGTAGGAAGGAAAGGAATTGGGGAATCGGTGTAGAGGAAAGGAATTGGGGAATCGGTGTAGAGGAAGGGAATTGGGGAATCGGTGTAGAGGAAGGAAAGGAATTGGGGAATCGGTGTAGAGGAAGGGAAATGGGGAATCTGTGTAGAGGGAGGGAATTGGGGAATCGGTGTAGGAAGGAAAGGAATTGGGAATCGGTGTAGGAAGGAAAGGAATTGGGGAATCGGTGTAGAGGAAGCGAATTGGGGAATTGGTGTAGGAAGGAAAGGAATTGGGGAATCGGTGTAGAGGAAGGGAATTGGGGAATCGGTGTAGAGGAAGGGAATTGGGGAATCGGTGTAGAGGAAGGGAATTGGGGAATCGGTGTAGGAAGGAAAGGAATTGGGGAATCGGTGTAGAGGAAGGGAATTGGGGAATCGGTGTAGAGGAAG